ACCTTTGAGATATAAAGTTGACTAGGCAGAGAGAAGTAAGCAGAGATAGAGGAAAAGAGATGCCAAGCCACATGAAAATCATCTAATAATAGAAGCTAAAGGAGATAAGGACATTTCTCTATCCAACAGAGAAAGAAAACATTCCCCTAGGGCCAACACCCTGAATTTGGACTTCTAGCCTCTTAAATGCTGAGAAAGTAAATTTATATTTGTTAAAGCCACAATTAATACAGAGTTTGTTCTAAGAAATTGAGATGTTGCTCTAACAAATATCTGCAATGTGGAAGTGGTTTTGGAATTGAGTAGTTTCTGAAGGTTTGAAGAGTTTTAAGTTTCCTAGATTGCCGAAAAGAGATTATTGGTAGAATTATGGATGAGGATTTAGAAAGAAGTGTGGAGAGCTATAGAGAAAGTCTGTATCATCTTAGAGAATGCATATGGCACCAGCAACAGAATGTTGCTAGAAATGTGGATATTAATTTGCTTCTGGTAAAGTTTTAAAAGAAAATAATGAACATGATTGGACAATGGAGGAAAGAGGATACAGCGGCAAAGAACTTGTCTGAATTATGTTCCAATATTTGGTGGAAGGTAGAATTTGTAAGTGATGAACTTGGATATCTGGCTGAAGAGATTCTAAGCAGTTCTTTAGGGGCAATATGGTTTCTACTTGCTGCTAACAGAAGAATGTGAGAGGAAAAATAATGGACTTAAAAATGAACTGTGCAAAATACAAACAAAGCTTAAAGATTTCAGAAATTCTGTTGCACAAACTAAGGACATGTGTCCCAAAATATTCACCAAGGATGTGGCTATACAATATTTTCTTAAAGAGATTAAGCCTATGACTAATGGGTCTAACCAACAATCACAGCAGAAAACCCATCAGCCTACACTGAAGGGGTCAGAGAAAATATTTAATAAAAACACTGCCTGCCTCTTGGAATTCTACAGGCCAAAGGAACTATGTCTATTGTCCTCTAAGAAAAGAAAAAGAGCATCCCTGGAGCAGCTAGGAGATTAGCACAACTGTTGGAAGGAGCATCATTTTCAAAGGATGGAATCTCAGCACTCTAGGTTTAAAAGAGTCAAATCTTCACCCACTCGGTCCTAGAGAGTGGGGCTGCCATTCATGAGTGTTAGTTAGGTGGATGGGGTCACTGCCCAAAGCTGATGAGGCAGGGCTGTCATACACAAGGGACAGAAGAATAGGGCCTGACGAGGCCAAGGGCGTGGGGTTGCCACATATATGTACTAGGAGAACAGAGTTGCCAAAAGCCAAGAGAGTAGAGTTACCATCCAGTGGGCATGAGGGGCAGAGATGAAGCCCAGGGCTGAGGAGCCTCCACTCAGAATCCAGAGGGTGTGGCCAAAAACCAGAGTCTGAAAGTCAGGGCCATACCCAGATGGCTCCAGGGTATAGAGGATTATTTTCAAGCCTTGAAACCTGGTGTAAATTGTTCTACTGGGCTTTTGACTTTTTTGGTAGTCTTTACCTCTTTTTTTCCTCTCCAATTTATCCCATTTAAAATGGAAATGTCTGCCTTGTGCCTCTTCCACCATTGTACTTTGGGAGCAGATAACTTCTATTCTAATTACACAGGTTTACAGATGAAGAGGAATTTTAGATCAGGATAGAATATGCCTAAAGACTCACCCACATTTGACTTAGAAATTTCAAAAGATGAAAATTTCCATTTGGAGTTGATTTAAGACTTTGGGATGATGTGATAGGGTGAATGTGTTCTGTATGTGGGAAGGACATGAATTTCTAGAGACCAAAGGGTGGAAGGTTATGGATTGAATTGTGTCTGCCAAGAAAATGTGTTATAATTCTTTACCCCTGTACTTGTAGATGTCACTTTGTTGACTAAGGTGTGCTTGACCCCAGCCATGGTATTTTCAATCACCTCATATACATGCAAAAGCTGGGCAATGAATAAGACAGACTGCAGAAGTGATGTCTTTGAATTTGTTGAAGAACATTAAATATACTGTGGAATTCCAGTAGAACAAACAAATCTATCTTGGGAGAAATTTAACCAGAATGCTTCTTAGAAGCAATGCTGGCAAGACTACATCTCATATACTTTGGACATGTTACCATGTCCTTGGAGAAGGGCATCATGTTCGGTAAAATAGAGGTTCATGGAAAAAGAGGATGATCCTCAATGATATGGACTGAAACAGTGGCTCCACCAATGGACTCAAACATAGATAGCAGTGATTGAGGATAAGGCAGGACCAGGCAGTGTGTCCTTCTATTGTATACAGGGTTTTTCTGAGTCAGAACCAAGTGGACAGTGTCTATCAACAACAACTTACTTGTTGATGTAATTTCATTTGGGAATAGCACTTTCTTTATTATGTTAGTGAGGCCGTATCAGTGTAGGATGTATCGTAAGCCATAGCCTTAGAGATAGAAAGCAAGCTGACTAGACAAAGAGCAACAAACAGATGGGGAAGACAGATGCCAAGCCACATGAAGAATGCCTAGGAACAGAAGAGCAGAGACAAAGATTTTCATCCAGAGCCAACAAAGAGAGAAAGCCTTCCTTTAGATCTGGCACCCAAACTCAGACTTCTAGCCTCCTGAATGGTGAGAAAACGATATCTGCTCGTCAAAGTCACCCACTTTTAGTATTTCTGTTACATCTGCACTAAATAACCAACACAAACTGTAATGTACTAAACAAGGAGAATGTATAAGTAAGAGGAAACTGTCATATATGATAAAAATGATGGGAGGGTGGCTAGTGGATAGTTGGGTAGAAAGAGTACTGGTATTAGAGTCAACAGAGTCCAGTTCTGGTTTTACCACCAATTTTTCCTTTGATACTAGTGTTTTATTTAACTTATATATTTCTTATTCTTCTCTAGTTGCAATTTATTTTAATATTTAACAATTCAGTGTTTGAAGAATAAAATGCAATATTAGAGACAAATAATTAAAAATTATAATGAAGTTCACTGAAACATTATGATCTGATGTTTTATACATTTGGATAAATTGTATATCTGTTTGCAACCAATTTGTAATTTATTACTAGAAGTATCAGAACACTACCAGTGTGTTTCTACTATTTTGGTAGAAACACATATTTGTTGAACCCCTTGGGCCAGTTGAGAGCAAAAGCTGATTAGCCAAGATCTGTGAGAGCCATAAGTAGTAACAGATCCAATTAACACATTTTCCACTTGCTAACTTGCTGCTGATGAAGATAATTTATATAAAAAAATAATGGCACTTACCTGTTTTTTTTCAAATAAAGCACTACAACTTTTCCATTAACTGTCATTTTATACTTCAACTCAGTTTCAAATTTTTCCTGCAAAAATGCACAAACATTTACTGGTAACTAAACATACACAAATAATCATGAACAAGCAATGTGTCTGCTTTTCCTTAGCTGTAGTATATATAATACCAAATGTCTGCCTTTGCCTCTTTACAAAGATCAAATAACTCTGCCAAGTAAATAGACAACTGATCTGAAATCCATCCACCCATCCACCAATTCATCATATCCTACAAATTCATATGTTCTACAGATATTTTTTCAGTCCTGGTTATGTGCAGAACACCATGCTCAGTGATGGAAAAATCAATTCTGAGTGAAAAAAAAAGGACACCTGCTCTCAGGGAGCTAATGATCTTGTGGAAAGACTTATAATAAAGAGTTTTATGTTACATGATAGGAGATATATGTATGGAAGAAATGTAGGATGGCTAATTTCTTAAGGTCAAGGAAAGCTTCTTGGAGGAAGTGACATTTAAAGAGATATGAATTAGCAAGGTGGAACAGAGAAGAAGGAATACTATACATGGAGATCCAGAAACGACTGTTGCCACCACTGACAATTTTGATTTTGAAGTTATCTCAAGACAAAACAGAGCTCAGAATATGAGCAAAAGAATAGGAATATATACCCTAATATGATGAGGAAGAAAATGTAGTTTCTGGTGTTCAGGAAGAGAAAATATTCCCACAAGTGAACCATGTGGAAAAGCAGAACTATAATTTTAAGTTTATATTGTTATGCTCAAGAGATGATAGAAGGGGTTATTACAGAATTACTTTAAAGAAGGTGCCAATGTATGTGGAATTCTAATTTTGATCTAGAAGATAGGGTTATCAGCAGTAATTAATACTCAATAGACAAAAATTAACTGGGAAGTGACAAGAAATTTTCATTAAAGAGAATTAAACATGGCAGACCAAATGCAGTCAAGTGCCACTTGCTATGAACTGAATTCTGTTTCCTCTGCTGTGTAGTATTTAAGACCAATCAGTCTTTCTCTCCTTCCTCTCCTGGCCAGGACAATACCTGAGTTCAGCAAGGGGGAATGATGGTCGGGCTACTCTCCAGAGATCTGGCTATGACCAAAATCACTTATAATGACCCCACTTCTTTAAATCATTAGTTATTGGAGGTCTGCACTGGTGCCAAAAATCCCAGACTATAAATATCCCATAATGAAGGTGAAGAGAAGAAAGGCTGATGTTATCTATCATTTTCATAGGTAATAGGAGCTGAAAAAGAAATTTGGTGAGTTAAAAATAGAAGTTAATAGGGAATTATAACCATTTATTGTTCAGATTTAAGAAAGACCAGATTGAATGAAGATATTAAGAAAATATTAAATATGGTCTTCTACCCAGAAGAGCCTTTGAGATACCTGTTTCCTGTCAGCATGGCTTTTCAGTGAATCTTCACCTAAAACATTATTTGGACGTTGTTTTAGGCAAGGTAAATGTTTTTTTTTAATTTGGAACTTAGAAGACACTAGTGCAGAGATTATGGATGAAAGGGAACAACAAGGAAGGAAAACAGAGCCTCTATGAATGAGGATGTACTGAGTGATGTGATATAGATACTTGTGATGGAAAGCAATACATATTGAAAAGAAATGTCCTGTGTGTATGCTGTTTGGATTCTAAACTCTGAGTTCCCATCCACTGTTATTGAGTTGATTTCAACTCATAGTCACCCTATAGGACAGGGTAGAACTGTCCTATAGGGTTTCTAAAGCTGTAAATCTTTACAGAGGCAGACTGCCTCATCTATCTCCTGCAGAGAGGCTGGTGGATTCAAACCACTGACTTTTTGATAGAGGCCAAATGCTTTAACTACTGTGTCACCAGAACTCCTGAATTCTGAGTTTGGAGGAAGGAAACTTGTGCCTTGATTTAGAGAGTACCCACTATGACTTTCATTAGAAGGAAATGAATTTGAGACCACTGAGTAAAATTAGTTGACCATTAATAATAATAATAATAATAACAACAACATTGCCTTTGCATTGATTCTAACTCATGGTGACCCCATGAGTTACAGAGTAGAACTGGACTCCATAGGGTTTTCATGGTTGTATTCTTTATGAAAGCAGATCATCAGGGCTTAATTCCATGGGACTTCTGGGTGGGTTCAAACTGCCAATATGCCATTTAGTTTGCTGTTGTTATTAGGTGCCATCCAGTTGTTTCTGACTCATAGAGATCCTATGGACAACAGAAGGAAGCACTGCCCTGTCCTGTGCAATCCACATAATCATTGTTTTGCTTGAGGCCACTGTCGCAGCCACTGTGTCAATCCATCTTGGTGAGGGTCTTCCCCTTTTTACTGACCCTCTACCAAGCATGATATCCTTCTCCAGGGACTGCTTGCTTCTGAAAACATGACCAAATTATGAGATACTAAGTCTGGCCATTCTCATTTCTAAGGAGCATTCTGGCTTCCAAGACTTATGTTTGTTCTTCTGGTAGTCTACAGTATATTAAAGTTTCTTCAGCAACACCAAAACTGGGTGTTCTTCCTTATTCAATGTCCAACTGTCACATGCATATTAGGCTACTGAAAAGACAATGCCTTGGGTCAGGTGAACCTTAGTTTTCAAAATGACATCTTTAAAACTTTATAAAGGTCTTTTGCAACAGATCTGCCCAATGCAATGCTGGTGTTGTTGTTAGGTGCCATTGAGTCACCCCCAACTCATAGTGATCCTATGCACAACAGAAGGAAAAACATGAATAGCAATGAAAAGCTGTCAGATATATTACTGGAAAACTTTATGAATAGCCCAGTGCAATGTGTAGTTTGAATTCTTAATTGCTGCTTCCATGGGCATTGATTGTAAATACAAGTAAAATGAAATCCTTGAAGACTTCAATCTTCTCTCCATTTATTATGATGTTGTTTATTGGTCTTGTTATAAGGACTTTTGTTTTCTTTATAATGAGAAGTAATTCATACTGAAGGCTACAGTCAGTAAGTGCTTTGATGTCATCAATAAGTGCTTCAAGTCTTCATCACATTCAGCAAGCAACATTGTATTATGTCCATGTTGCTGACTGTTAATGAGTATTCTGTCAATCCTGATGCTATATTCTTCTTTATACAGTCCAGTTTCTTGGATTATTTGCTCAGCATACAGATTAAATAAATATAATGGAAGGATACAATGCTGATACACACCTTTCCTGATTTTAAACACTTGTTTAATTCTAAAGACTACATCTAGGTCTATGTACACGTTCCTTATGAACATAATTAAGTGTTATGGAATTCCCATTGTTCACAATGTTATCCAGAATGTGTTATGATCCACACAGCCAAATGTCAAAAGCAAACTGTATGTGCCCCCACAGCCAGGGGCATGTAAATGAACATTTCCCAAGGGAAAATGCCATTAATTAGGGTTAGTGGGTGGATTGGGAAGGCCAGAATAAAGGATCTCTTAGAATGGAAGAACATTTATAATGTCAAGGTGATGATCATTGGCAGATAGGAAACAACAAGGGAAACTCTAGACTTCACGTGGAGTTTCTTAATTCTAGAAATAAAGTACATGTCATAACACACAGTAAACCTGAGGTCTCTATAAACACTCATAGATCTAGCTAATGGCCTGAAATCTTTGCCAACTTAGGGAGGTTCTGTGTCATCAGATATTCTATATTTTTACACAAGTCAA